GCATGTCTTTTTTGACACTAGAAAGAAGAAGGCACATTAATTTTTTAAATCTTTGTGGAACTCATTTTTGACTTGGGAAATGTTCATATGTTCCATTTTTCTTCATAAGAAAAGACTGCAATTTGGAACCCTATAATACAGACAATTCCCACATATCCTAAAGTCTCTGTGTCTTTGTCTCTCAATCATCTATAAGGTCAATTTGGTTATTAGCTTCATTGGTCTAAAAAAGGAGCTGGCAACCAAACTTTCCCACCAATATTTTGGCCAAAGAAAGGTAACGGACCCATTTTGAACAATAAAGTCCTCCTTCGAGGAAAGTAGAAGGCTTCCATTTGACTAATTCAAGACTCCCTCAAACCAATTATATACCCTCTCTATGGCAATCCAAATGTATGGCGCAAAAGTGATTAGTAAGTTTATTTAATTAATCATGATCCATAGGAAGATTAGTTGGGCTAAGTACTAGAGAAGGGTATGCATTTGCAAATGATGAATGCTAGGTCATTGATTTTTTATCCAACTAGCTTCAAAGTATCATATTAAAGTTTAATTTATTGATTTAGTCAAAGGTCAATCATTTATGTTAAATAATAAAATTGTGAAAGTTTATTTCAACGTAAACTCTTAGAAAAGTAGAATCTCGACAAAATTATACATAGCTGTAATCACACAAGATAGATTAGTTTTTTCAATCCAAAGTCAATAACACAAACTACTTGAAACGTCTTGAGAGTGACTTTAGGATAGATACTTTGATACTTAAGTTAGGAATAGTTTGCTTTTTGTTCAAAGTCAATCAAGAAAAAGATCAAGGTTAAAAAAGTACCTTCGCTAATTACCCTTTAAGAGTATTTATAGGCCTAGTGATGGTGTCCACATGGTTTTTGAAGAGCAATAATTAGAGTATGACATGGTTAATAGAGTGAATATCTCAAAGGTATAGATCAGCTAGCATGTTTTCAGCAAACCATGTTTGCAATTGGGGATTATTACTGAAGTGGAAGGGAGTTCAGAGGTTTGATTTTGGCCATTCGAAGTTGTTCAATTCAAACACATCCTCATAGAAGCAAATTCCAAGACTAACCCAAATTAACAACTTGGGTAATATGAATAATAAAGAGAATCAAATTAATGACTTAAGTAATTCAGTAGTAATATCTTTTCATTAAAAATAAGAGATTTAGAGTTTGAGTCACTAAACATGTGGGTAGAATAACTGATGGGAGATGGTTGTCTTTCATTGTGTAACTAAAATAAAATAAATAAATAAATAAAGAGAATTAAGATAATTAATCTTGTTATAAAAGGAAGAAAAAAGAGGATAATTAAGATGATTGTAGAAAGAATATCACACCATTATGAGGATTAGCGAGCCAAGGAAAAATCAATTCACTAATTGATTGGTTATTAAAGATTTGAAATTAATTATAATCTCATTAATAAGAGATTTCCAATTAATCATTACTCCCTTTCAATACACATTGATTTCATCTTTAAATTAAGAATTAGAGGAAAATTTCTTCTTTTTTTTTTTTTTAAAAAAATTAATTAATTTATTTTATTCTTAAAAAAAGAAAAAAGAAAAAGAAAAAGTCTATTATTAAAGTTAAAAGATAATGATAATGTTAAAATACGAAGAAAAAAAGTTATAAAAAACTGCTATTATTTTAGAATAAATTCTAAATTAAAAAAAGTTTATTATTCTAAACAGAGAAGCATTTGCTTATATTATACTTTTTTGTTGTTTCAAAATATTTTTTTTATTTTGAATTTGTCCTAAAATAATTTTTATTTTTAAAAAATTTTTAAGATAAACAAATATTTTTTCCGTACTTTAACTTTATCATTAATTCAATATTCACTCGTCAATGCTAATTAAATTTTATTGCAATTTAGACACAAATGCTAAAAAAATAAAAATAAAAATAAAATTTTATTTGTATTTAGATAACTCTTTTATTTATCAACTTATTTGAATTTTTTCTTTTTAAAATTTAATTTTAAATTATTATTTTATTTGGATATTTTAATTTTTTTCTTTAAATTAAAATAGTGATTATCCAATTACTTTTCATTGTTAATAAAAAAACTAAAAATTAGATAAATTAAAATTAAAATTATTGCTTTATCTAGAAGATAAAAAAAAAATGAAAAATATTACTTAAATCTAATTTGAAACTTATATAGCAAAAACTCTTTTAGATTAAGTCATTTACTTGAAATTCAAATTTCACCTTATTAAAATTTTAATTTAAGTTTACAATTA